TTAGGCAATTTTTTGGCTGTCCCACTTCATCTGCGGCGTAGTTTATAAAGAAGTATGAAATGTCTCAGAAACAAAAATTTTCAAAGAAACGCAGTCGTACAATAACAGGATCATCAAAAATATTAAAAAGACCTTTAAAGCATTCCTAAAATATTACGAACTACACTATGCATGTGTTCACGGCCAAGAACGTCCAGCAAGAGGAAATGGATTGAGACAAACAAAGTAAGTACGTAGTTTATTTTTATTGTTCCGTTACATAATAAATAAATAATTGCAGTACTTTACGAATGGGGTGTAAAGCACATTTTACATTGCGAGCATGTTCGACTGGCCAATAGTTGGTAATACAGAGTAGAAACTTAGAACACACAAGTCATGAGATGTCTACGGGACGGGACCTACAAGTTATTGAATATTGGATGTACTCTTTTCTTGTTTCTGGTGGAAGACTCAAATGGACAGTCTAAAATTGTATTTGCCGCGCTTATTGCAGTCGAAGACAAATACACATATCGCTGGATCTTTGACACTTTCAAGAAAGAAATGGAAACTGATGGAATCAAATGCTTTATGGGGGATAAAGACTTTGTGGAACGCGATGTAATAAAAGAAATGTTCCCTGGAATTCCGGTTTATCTGTGTTTGTTACATACCTTAAAAACATTTAAGCGAGAGGTAAATTGCGATAAACTAGATATAACTAAAGAGGAACGTGACTTATCCCAAGAGTATTTGCAGATGTTAGTGTATGTAAAAAATGCAGCAGAATATGACCTGATGTACAAACAATTTGAAGAGTGTGTTCCAAAAAAAGTGTTTGATTATTTCAACAAAAATTGGCATGCAATTCGCAACGAATGGCTTGTTTTTAACATGACGAACAGTAATATGAACAATACAACAAATAATAGAATGGAGTCTATTAGTCAGAAAATAAAACAAGTTGTTTCAAAAGATAGCTCTCTCCTAGGTTTTATAAGGACTTTTTTAATTTTTTTGGATTCACATTATCAAGAGCGGGATGCTATAGTGGCCAAACACTTCCTAAAGAAATCTCTTCAACGATTTGAAAGTCACAAGGAAGACATGGAAGAATATATGAATTTATTAACAAATTATAGCTTTAATTTTATGCAAAAACAAGTTATGTATATGCCAAAAGTTGAAGTATTAAATGGTATTGAGGATAACACCAGATTTATAGTTAAAACGTCTAGAGGGAATATATCTGTTGCTGTTGATAATTGTCAGTGTGGCGATTTCGCTTCAATGATGTTACCTTGTAGACATATTTTAGCTGTAAGAAAACTAAGAGGTCTACCGATATTCATTAAAGAGATTTGTCATAAAAGGTGGACAAAAGAGTATAACCGATCGTAAAACTAGAGGTTCAAAATTTATAAAGGGTTATATTTGTCTGTTCATTTGTTTAGCGACAGAAGCAGTATATTGATATTTTGTTAGCGATCTTACTGCCGATGCATTTATCGCTACTTTATCAGTAGACGAAGTAAACCAGCAAATATATGGTCGAATAATGGTGGTAACGTTGTCGGTGCAAATAACGAAATATACAAAATGCATGCTTTTTATCCTCTTGTTCGATTTATATCGCAAATTATTTATCAAATGAAGGAAGTTTTATTCCAGCCAAAAGCACAAACTTTGGAAGAATTTGGGAAGCTGGAATAAAGGCTACCAAATATTATTTAAACCGAGTAGTTGGGGAAAATAAATATACTTATGAGGATTTTTTAAATAGTACTGCTCAAATCGAGGGAATACCAAATTCCCGCCATCAGTTTCGTCTATCTTCGGATCCTGAAGAGTTAGCACCCCTAACTCCTGGGCATTTATTGATCGACCATGCACTTACAGCATCACCAGAAGCATATTTAACTAACATAGCAGATAATCGACTAACCCGATTTCAAAGGCTTCAAGCGACAGTTCAACACTTTTGGAACCGCTGGCTGAAAGAGTATCTAGTAGAGTTACAAGCCAGGAGCAAATGGAAGAAAGAGTCCCAGAATAGTATAAAAATTGGATCACTAGTTTTAATTCAGGGACAGAAATCATTTTCCTAAGATAAGTCTATGGGTAGAGTAATTCAACTTTATCCAGGAAAGGACAGTATAATACGTGTGGTTCAGCTAAAGACTCGTGATGGTCTGATTAAACATAAGATAATAAAAACAGGTATTTTACCAGTATAAAAAACTTTAGTTTATATTATTTTATATTTTTTACGTCTTTAAGTTTGCACTTGTTTTATGTTTAATGGAACTTTAAACGAACTGGATTCATTCAAGAGAGGAGTGTGTTCGGGATTTATACCAAAGTTCGCCAACGCCGCATTACCAATAGGATGTGATGGCCTTCCAGCTCTTAGCCGGACAATGGAAAAAGAGATTAACATATCTGTACCTGAGAGCCAAACTGTATTAACTCCATTTTTTCAAATAGGTATGTATTAAACTTTTCTTTTACTAAAAAAACCGGCTTTTTCACATAGTAATATTAAAAACTACAATATATACATGGGCGACGTAGACCTTGCTGACAGAATGTTGGCAGTCTGTCCTTGCCGAGCACGCACCAGAAAATGAACAGTTCGTTTTATTAACCACATGTTTGATTTGACAGTTTGTAATTCATGGTTTCATTACAAAGACATCCAAAAGAAAAATATATACCTGCCAAAAACATTCCTCAATTGAGGTCTTTCAAATTAGCATTGGGAGAACAACAATTTGCAGAAAACACACGGTTTCTTCTGATTCTGAGAGCTGCAGAGACTATGAAGATTTGGAATCCAAAGACAAAAAGCGAAGGGTGGAAATTCAACCAATATCTGCCGAAGTTTTACGTTATCATAAAGCTGAACATATAGTCGATTATGCTGATAAACAATCGAATCTGGACGGTGGTGTAGCGGTCTATCGCGCTTATATTCATTTATAGGCAAGTTTATGAGTCTGAGACTGATGGGTTTCGAGTCCCAGCCCGGACCATGTGGATTTTTAATTAAATTGCATGGTTCGGTTTAGGATTTGATGTGTGGCGTATTAATAGAAATTCAATTTCTGTTGATATGGCATGCATATTAAAAAAATTCGCCATACATTACCGTCTCGATGATGGTGGGTGAGGTTTTCTGGGTTTTCCTCACCTGTAAGTCAAATAGCACCATCAATCATCTTTAAGTCGCCCCGGAGCGCCACGGCAAATAATAATAATAGCCGTCCCTTCCCCTACACAAGTCATTCAGTCGACTTCAGGGGTTGAAATTAACTCGTAAGGGGGTGAATTAGGGAGAGTATTATTATTATTATTATTATTATTATTATTATTAAAACAGATTTAGGAAACCAAACTGTAAACATACTACGACAGCATTTTGTGTCAAATGCATGATGTTTTTATGCAGCACACAGAAACGAAATTGTTTTCTTCAATTTCATACCAAAAATTAGTATTTTTGATTTTTTATAAATTTTTATTGACTTTAATTATAGTTTATGTAATGTTCAATGTATTCATTTTTAGTTTTAAAATATAAAACATCTTAAGAAATTAGCAATTTTTATTGTTCATACTTATATCTACTGTTTAAAAAATTTGGGTTACAAAGACCAAAAGTCATTTACTTATAGCATTTGTACTGGTAACAGAGACTAGATGTTATACATATATAACATTGAGAAAATGCATAGTTTTCGCTGTTTTTTTTTAATTTTTTACTGTAAGCGGCAGTGATATAAAAGTAAACAAATTCAAAAACACAAACATTACCAAAAAAAATATTTAGGCCTCAGGAGGTTAAATTTATATCTCATTTTGCCTTAAAGCTAAAAGAAAGAAGGTAAAAGGCGATAGAAGATATTTTTTCCCAAAAATAACGTGTATATTTTTCAACTTTATAAATGTACCCTAGAATACCGTTTTTGAGTGCAACTGACCCCTTGCACCCATGCATTCGCCGCCTTTGAACACCTTTTAATAAAATAATGAATGTTTTCTTTTAATTAGTTGCACCATACTGCATAAATCATTTTACAATTGTTTAAAAACTATATATTGCACAGTGTAAAATGCGTGAAAATTGGAATATATTTTTAAATTAATTATTTTAATATAATAACATTTACCCCCTCCGCGATACAGTAATTTAATTACCTACATATTTTAAAATTATTAAGATGCAGTCCGTTTTGACCATTATTATTCTCTTCATTTTAATATTTAATGGACAAACACAGAAAACCATCAATATTCGTAAGTCAGTAATTTCTATTTATAAAACTTGAATCACTTCGTTTTTTCAGAAAAAACTCTATAGAGTGCAAAGGATTATAAAGAAAAATTATATTTTTCTCAACAAAAATACTACGATAAAAGAATCAAAATCAATCAAATTCAAACATATTTGTTTCAAGGTAAGAAAAAAACTTGAAATCAGTCCCACATAAATTAATTCTATTGATTAAAACGATGACCTGTTTCGGCCTAAATACAACGAAGCAAGGCATATCCAGCTCAAAACAAAAGGGGGGCCGCTTTCTGAATTCAATATTTTAAAGGAAGAATAGTGTTAAAATAATATATAATACCAAAATTTATTGAAAAAAAAAAAACTTAATTTTTTAACAATAGTTTGCGTGGATTGCTTGCAAATCTTCTAATTACATCTACCAATTGCTCTTCGTTTGCAAAAACCCACTGACGATGAATGCTAAGCATAGCTAATCCATTCAATCTATTCTCACTAATAGTGCTCATTAGCCATGTCTTGATTCTACGAAGTGGTACAAGGTTGCGAAAGCAATATCAGAAGAGCCTTTCTAGTTGTCGGAAAAAACATTTCGCTCTTTTTCAAAATCTCGGTGATGTCTAGTGTTTCCTGCACCTTATTCCATATTTTGAACCATAATTCACCTTCTCTTCAATGTCTTTCAAATTGTAAAAACTTTTACAAGATGACGAGCTTTTTTTTTTCATTCTTCCAATGAAACATGTTTCATGTTATCCAAATAAAAATGGGTTAATGCAAATGCAGGTGATTTATCTGTGGAAAATCTTACTTGTAGAGATCCAATGATTAAATCTAAGTAAAGAATTATGAGAGATCTTTTCCAAAAGTCGCCTGGGTTTTCGGCTGGAGGCTTGTTTCTAGGCTTTTGTTGGCCAGCAATACGAGCGACAGTTATATCAACATTCAAAGGCTTTACTTTATTGCCTGCTTTTTTTAAAATTTTAGCCGTTACGTTTTCCGCATTCTTCCGATGATCTCTTATCATTTCAACAATAGTTTGAATATGCTCGTTGCCTTTAACAATATCAAGTGTCTTTATTTGAAGCATATTTGCTACGGGTTAAATAGAGAGCTTTTTTATACTTTTGCCTCAAGATCGCTTGCACGCCCGCCTCTTTACCAAACATGATGGAATATCCATCAAAACCTAACTCCATACACTTATCAGGATCTAGGTCTAAGTTTACAGTATTCTTGTAATTAATAATTTTTATGATAATGTTACTAATTACTATACGAAATTAATTCGATCATCGCATCAATGTATAAAAAGGTTTTCCTGAAAAAAAAAAATTAAAATTATGCTGTGTAACTTAAAAAATAGAATAATTAAGTTTATTAAATAAACAGGCCCTTTGAAATCCGCGCAAAAGCCAACCCTGGTGCCTTAATACAAGAGCTAAGAGCTAAGAAAACGGAAAAAGTTGTTGCGTAACCTTTACAAGAAGTACTTACCAAAAAAAGTTTTAATATCCATCGTATTTAAGTGAATGGCACGAAACAAATAAATAAATGTACAAATTATAAACGTTGCACTGAGCACTGAGATGTGACTGGACTCTGACTAATGCATCAAAAATTAAATAATTGCAGAAGCAGCTCGAAAGAAGTAGTATTTGGACAGAACGCCCGATTCTGTAACAGTACCTGTTTTAAAAATATTGAACGTATTTTTTTCTACACGAATTTATTATTTTTAATAAGTATAAAAAAATTAAATTGAATAATATATTTTATTTCATAGCTACTTTTCGTACTGGTAAAATAAATTTAATTTTTTCGGATTCGGAAAGGGGGACAGCTGCCCCCCCTCGCCCCTCCCTGGATACGCCCTTGCAATGGAAAGAAACTGGTGTTAAACAAATATAAAAATTAAATAATTTTTACATACCTAGAAACAGTCCCGGATCTAAGCGTGGGGGGGGGGGAAACCGGGGTACCTGCCCCGAGCGGCCGTGCTGGCTTTAGTTGAGTGGCATCCTCTACAGGACTTCTGTTCTGATATAATTTTCATTATCCTTCTCCATTGTTTTTAATACAAAGGATTTGAGACTGCTTGGTCGGAAGAATTTATGGAATAAAGTTGACTGGCCATTAAAGTGGGCCAAAAAACGAAAAAAAAAATTGTTTCTCTTGGATGGGGATTGAAAAAAAGATGTCTTTTAACAGCTTATAAAAAATTGGATTTTTTTATCAATATTTAACCGCACCCCAGGGGGGGGGCTTGAAAATGCATTTTAAATTCTATTTTATTTTTTATTCGGGGTAGGTTAAAATTAGTTATTTATGATTTTCTTAATGCATGCAAAAAAAAACCGAACTTAAAATTTAAAGTTTTAGCCGCGCCCCGTCGCACAGTGGTCCCAAAATTAAAATTTTCGGCCAAAAATACCACAACTGCTGGATTTGTACTAAAACACATATATAGGGGTTTTTAAGGTATCTAATTACGAATATGACCATAAAATGTCGTTAACAAGGTGTCGGGCTACAATATGGCCGAATTAAAAATAAATATTTGACCTTTAAAATTTTTTTATTTTTAACTGACCTGTAAAATTAACTAAATTAGTGGATTATTAAAGAAAACTAATTTGGGTAAAACTAGTGATAATATATTATAATAATTATTAATATAAGGAACATAAAAAAATACTATATCATAAAAAATTAATTGCACACAATAATCATTCTGAATCACTACTAACAGTTAACTCGGTTTCAGTTTCAGAGTCACTATCTACATCTCCGTCAAGTCTTAATTGATCTTGAGAACCGCTGGCTATAAGCATTTCTAATGCTTCTGGGGAAAATTGTTTTAATTTTTTCTTTGGAAGCTTTCTAATGCTTGAAATATAGGGGTCAGAAGATACAAGCAGTCTAAAAATATCTTCCATTGTTTTCACTCTTGAAAATTTTCGAGAAAAATCGGCACCATACGTTTTTAGGTCTTTGTTTCTTGCCTCCTGGGCTTCCTCAGATAATTGTCCAATAGGTAATAAAGCATTTTCTATGACTTGTTTTCCATGTATTAACACTTTATGAACGGAAGTGGGCATGTAATACCATGGATATAAATTAACAAATAGTTTTGCCGTTTCAATAGAAAAATTTTCAAACATGTCATAATGAATATCGTAACTACTAGATATTACCTGTAAGATCACATGAAAACGTTTAATTAGTGTCTCGTCAATGCCAGTTATGTTTGCGGAAATTTCAGAATTTTCAAAAAAGCGTCGAGCAGTATTGCCGTCATTGGAACTTCCAAAACCAGCCTTTGGCTTGTCCACTATTAACCCCAAATGCAACCGAAATTCACGTTGGACCTCTTTTTTTCTATTATCAACTGCTTTTTTTTCTTCAGCACTTCGTGCTTGCCATTTTTTAATAACCAATTTGTAAGATAAATGCAAGACACACTCAAAGAATCTGATCCATGCATGTAGAGTGGATAGTCCAAATTTAAGATTTTCTTCCAAAAGAGGCTTCTTTAAAATTTTACTTATGTCATTAAAATCTTTACTAGTTGCTCCACATAAATAACAACGCTGCGATGACTTTGTTCCAGTGATGGCACTGCATACTTTCCCATCGATCATTGTTAGATTCATAATATACGTTATTTTAACACTTTTTTCTCTAAAGGTTCTTTTAAAAGGCAAAAGTGTATTTATCTGGTTTTCAACATGCCTTACTTCAGATTTCGTCAATTCAGTCGTTTCTTGAAGAAATTGCATTCGAAGTGGTCTACAAAATCGTAGAGATGACGTTCTAGGATTCTTCCAAATAATTATATCTTCACCAAGTTTAATATCTGTGTAAAATAACTGCAAAGGAACGACCGATGTAAAAAATATGCTGGCATCAGAAATGCTTTCTCCTTCAAATGTCTGTTTGTACTCACTTTGACCGGAGCTTCCATCACATCCCCATTTGCAAAAAAATTTTAAGTTTTGCAATTCTTTATCAGTCAAAGTGGCAATAACTTCTTCTTGGGTTTGTAGTATACGTTGAGCTGTGTGATTTAATAATTGCTGCAGTTCGACTTCAGAGCTACTTTCCGTAATTTTTATGGAACTCCGAGAAGGATAACATAAATTTTTTGCTTCCAATACTTTCTTATAAGAAGGATAGAGCTTGCAGTTTTGTTCCAAACTTATTAACCGTATACCCTTGTACTGGCTTTTTGAAAGCTTACACTCAATTAATATTGAGAGAGCTCCTTCACTGGTTAAAGGAGTTTCAGTTGTAGCCTTAAAACTTTTTCTATATTTTGATGCTCTAGTAGGAGTACAAAGGGCGGCTTCTTTAACAAGCTTACTTGCATCTAGTTGGCCAGTAGAACGCAGACTTACTTGCGTTGCAAATGCCAATTCTTGTGGACTAAATGAGCTACGAAGTTCTTCAGTTTTTCTTCGTTTGGATCTTTCGCTGGATGTTAGAAATTCCTTTGTTGGTCTTCCTCTAACTGATGTCGCCAAAGTTGTTACAACTTCTAATATCGGAAATGTAACGGGTTTAATAAGCCAATCATGGTATTTTTGAAAAAAAATTTGCTCAGTTGTCTTAACAATTTTTGCCTTATTTTAGAAAATAATGTTGAAAATGAGGCCTTCATGTCTTCACGAATTTCTATTGATTTTCCACTTCGTTCAGACACCGCGGTCTTAAGATGATTAAGCAGATCAGTTAACCCGTCTCTTAAGTGATCCTTTACCATGTCATAAATCTCCTTTCTACTATAAACTACTTGCTTACAGGAAGAGCCTGAAACAAAAAAATATATTGAATTTTTTGCAATTTTGCATTTTAGGCCCTTTATTTTTAAAAACTTTTTGACTTATATTTATGAGTACTATATGCTAAAGAAGTTAATAATGTTATTTTAGAAACACACTGTACATTTTAAATTACTATTTTTTAGGGTGTTCCGAAGCAATTTTTGCTAAGTGCTATTTTTACTCATACAATCTTTTTATTTTTGCTTTGCCATTTTTGAATAGGCAGTTATTGGCAGCTGTATTAGACAAAATTTGAAACATAATAAGTTAATCTGTAACCTCCATACCAAATCTGCCCGGCATATAGTGGTATGTGCTACTTTTCGACTCGATGAATTACTAAATTATTTAAAAAAGTGTATTTCTTGGATTACCAATTTTGTTTATTATTTATTCGGTCGCATTTAAATGTAATGTTTTGAAACACATAAAAATGAAATTACATACCTGATGGAGTTGGTTCCATAACGCCAAATTTTTATAAATTAACTCAAGTCCAAAATAATGCACTTTATATTACAACTAATTCACAATCTAAAATTCTCTGGACACTACCACTTTCGACAAACCCTAATCGGCAACTAAAATCTATGTACTAACAAGCAATTCGTCCACTTACAATAACAAAGTTCTAACTACACCTTTTTTCAAATTCTAAGTTTTAGTATTATAGGGTTCTAACTGCTATTTTCTGCCTATTTTTAATAAATATAGCGACATCTAAAAATCGTAAGATAAACTAGAATAAACGCAGAGTTCTATCAGCCACAAACATTTGTTATTTTTATTTCACATGGTTGTATCTGCCTACACTTAGAACTATATTATCCGAAAAGAGTAGTTAGAACGTTGTTATAGTAATACGGTATTGACGGCTGCTTGTTTTATAACCTTAAAAGTTAGTGTATCTGTGTTGTGTATAAAGACGACCAAAATTATAAGATTACCATGAATAGAAGTAAATTAATATTAAAAATGGGTAAGTAATAACAGCCTAAAAATATGATTTAATAAGTGCTTTATAAAATTTGAAAGCTTTCGTTATATTTGTTTCATTATTTTAAGCTCATGAGAAATGTAACGGAATTCCGTTGGCCGAAAATGGCAATAAAAGTGAGCTTTTAACTGTATCTCAATTGTCAGAAATCGTTACCAATGATAATGTAGCCGACAATAACTCCTTTCATTCGATAGAAGATATGATAGAAAACGCGGAAGTAGTTATGGACTGTGACCAATCTACCGTCACCTCTTCATTCATTGT